TTCAGCTGGATCTAGCTGATAATTTCTTAGATGAAAAGATGCTGTGTGGGGTTGAAGGGTGCAGTGCAGGGAAGGTGGGGAGGAGCAAGCCTTTTCCTTTCAGAGGCTGCTTCAGCTGAAGTGCTTGAACCCATCAAGTGGTACTGCCAGTCGGTGAGAACTAGCTCCCACCCTTCAGGAGGTGGTTAACTCTGAAGCTTGAATGTAGCAACTTGTTAAAGAGTTTACTGCCTGTTGCTGGTTATTTTAGTAGAAACAATCTGATCAAGTTTAATCCGGAAATGAAAACACTGAAAGTGTATCAGTCCAACTGTTAAATCTCCAGTTTGGGGTTATTACTTTGAGGTGTTTGCCATATAATAAAGGTAACATAGAAGTGTATGTGTGCTTCATCAGGTTGATTGGAGCTTCCTGGTTTTTAACACTTGCTAGATTCACAGAGCTGCAGAATTTTGACCTGACTAATCCAAAATTCACAGCAGCTTTATGTAATCTTGGTTTAAAAATGAAATAATTTCACTGTTTGATGTTAACAGAATAACTGGTATGCAGTTGAGCTTCCTTCTTACCTTCTGTCTTCTCCCCTTCATGGATTGCCAGTCCTACTCCTGCGTTGGGTAGCACATGCACCACTTCAGTCAGGTAGGGAGTGAAAGGAGTCGAGGGTTGGACTGTTCCACAGCAAACTAGTGGAAAGCTCACTATAAACAGAGGATGATTTCTGATGATACAAATGCAGTTGAGAATTAAAGACTCTGTTTTGGCATATAAATGTTGGAAATTAACCTCAGTGATACTTTTTTTTTAACTTGTAACAAAATTTGACAACATAATTTTTTCTAGTTTATTTCATCAAATTAAGATTTAATAGTTACATCATTCTTAAGATTTTGAATTGTTAAAAAAGGCAATATATTATGTTTCAGTAGGCTTTTCCAAGGGCAATAAATTAGTTACTTGTCTTTAGCCCCTTTTGTAGGGCATTATATTTCTGCCTTTGAGAATGGAAGGTGATCTGTTTCCATTGTCTTCTCAGTGAATTTCACCCATTTGGAGGCATTTGCTGGATGTATACACCTAACAATTGCTTTGATTCCCAATTCTTCACCTCCCTTTGGTCTCTGAGATACGATTTGCAGATGCTTCCCCTCTTCCTGCAGCTGTGAAGTAATGCTCATTAAGGAACACAATAGGAAGTATTCCTTGTGGTTTAAGTGACCTCCCTCCTGCTAGCGGCCTTTGCAGGACAGCTGGAATATTTTGTAAATAATATATTAACAGTATTTCCTCTGTATATGCTGCTTATTAATGCTAAGTACTCATTAATGTAGATGTTTAGGAAACCTTTCTGAAAGTAGGATAGTTAAGAACTGATGTTGCTTAAGGAAAGCCTCTTAATGGAGGCTTTGTAAGACACTGATTTTGGTTTTGGTGTACCAATATACCCTTTGCAAAAGAGGGTGAGAAAAGATGAGGCAAAGTTTAGTAATACCAAACTACTTAGAGTGGTAAAAATGAAGGCCTGCATTGAGTAATCGTGGAAGGATCTTACGCAGATGAATGACTGAGCAATAAAATGACAAATAAAATTTAGCTTAGATAAATAATAAATTATAAACATGTAAAAAATATTAACTTCTGAGAGCCCAGAATTTTTATATCTTGCAGATCTATATAAATTTATAGAAAGGCGTAGAAGCTGATGGCTACCAGCCAAAAGTGAGATCTTGGCCTTGCAATAGAAAACTTCCCGAGAATATCAGATCAGTACTGAGTATCAGTCATAAAAGCAAACCAAATGCTAAAGATCGTGACTGGAATAGAAAATAAAGTGGAAAATTTTATTATGACACTGTGTAAAGCTGTGGTTTACCCATCTCCTATGTTGTTGCAGTTGTGGTCCCCCGATGTCAAAAAAAGCCTGTGAAAAAGTTAGGAGAAGGGTCATCCAGTGTAAGGGACAACTTCTCTACAGCCTGGAAAAGAGACAGCTTGGAGGGTTACATGGTAGATACCTGTAAAACCATGAGTAGCGTGGAGGAGAGGGAGGGGGACTGACTGCTGCCTCATCCAACATGAACCAGAAATTGTCAAGTGAAACTGGTAAGTCATGTTCAGATCAAAAAGGTCATTCTTGGCACAGTGGGTAGCTGGCCAGGGACTGTCTTGTCAAAGCCTGCTGTGATTCCATGTGAAACAGTTAAAGAGGAGATGAGGCAGTCTGGGGGTTACCGAGTGCATGGAAACATCATCTCCTGTGAGAAGCATCTCAGCTAATAATGGTTAGAAGATGGGCAAGTATTAAGAGTTTACTTGCCTTGGTTTTACTCTGTGCCCTAAGTGTCTGCTTTTGGCCACTAGTGGCTGGCCCACTGGGCTAGATGGATCTTTGGTCTAACCTAGTATGGTCATTCTGAGGAGTTTGAGGATGGGCTAGGTAACATTTTGGAATCCTTCCTGGCTTTATTTTCATGTAGGAGTTCATAATCTTAATCTGGGAAGATCTGGTAATTTGCAGCATCAAATGAGTGTTATGCCTTGGGAGCCTGTACAGTCCAGCAGTTGGGAACCTTCCCGGTTTAGTACCTCCAGATTCTGGGGAGCAGCAACTTGGGTGTTGTCTTCCTGAGACAGTGTTGCTGACTTAATGCCATTCCCTCAGTATTAAAGTAATGGAACTTCATTTTCTGTGCATTTGCATTTCATGATTAACTCTTCAGCTTTGGTATTGTTAACCTAAAAAAAAGTGATAGGTGCCATAGAATCCATACAAGATAGAAACTCTGACTGAAGAATGAATATTCAATGAGATAGGAACTCAAACTGAAAATATTCCCACAGCTCAGGCATTCCTAATGTCTCTCCCATGCAGGTTGCCTGGCATTTACCAAGAGTAGAAGTCGCTCTGTTCTGTCCTTCAGTGAGAGCATATAAGTGTTTTGTCTTGTTTATGCATTTTTTTTATTTTTTTTTTCCCCTCCCTCAAAGCTTCTGGAAATGTACATTTTTCAGTATCTTCTTGTAGCATTTGCACCCATTCAACAGTTTCAGCCAAATTTATTTTTGGAGAAACAAAATGCACAGTTGGTGATGACTTTTTTTTTTAAAATCTAATTAAAAGTTAAATTGGTATATTGTTTATTTGGTCCTATCTCTGAAGTATTTTAGTGCTTCGTAATCTGCAAAGCACTGATCATCATAAGTAGCAAAAAGAGGCTGAAGGTGGCCTGAGGAGCACGCCCAAGTGCTTCGTTTCATTGGGTGCTAATGCTGGTGGCTCCTGGTCCCAGAAGCATCGTGGCCATGTGTAGTTTTGTGATGGCTCCTGAAGTCTCAAAGTGTTCTGTGACCAGGTGTGGGGTGTGTTTGCCTCCTGCACCGGTTGGGGCATGGCTTTCTGCTGGGCCTGTTGGAAAGACTCAAGATCCATGAGGGATGGACACTTGTTGGTGAACTCTTTCTGCTGAAGGACATGACTTCTGAGACTCACTGATGGGATTTAAACCTTTCTTTTGTTTTCCCCTGGGAATTAGAGACTTTTCTCACAAAATCAAATCCAGTCTTAGGACTGTGATGGACATTTCTGCCTGCATATATACTGTAATTTAAAGGGAACTTTAAAAAATAAAATAAAAATTCACTGCAGGTTGGATTGTGTGACTTCATGTTCCATCTGTTGGCTTTAAATCTTCCCTGCTTAACTTGAAGAGTGTAATTGTGCTTTGAACCTTTCTCTGTTCTGCAGCTTCTCCCGTTCAGTGTTCCTCCTGCATCGCTCGACCAGCCATGTTCAAACCTCGCACCTTTCCCTGCAGCCCTGCTCCAGCCGCGCTCTGAGGACAATTCTCATTATTTGACATTATGTAGATGTGCGCCACCCACCAACTTTCTAAACAATTAAATTTTTTTTTCTCAATTTATTAAAAAAGTACTACGTAATGGTGACTTCAGCACTGACTCTTGTTATTTGTTGCTCAAATAACAGTTTACATCAAGTCACTTCTACTGAAAGACAGTTCAGGTCATCCCTTTCCCAACAAAGTACCAGGGAATTCAGATTTCAAGGGGAAAAATGGGGTAGTCTGCTCCCTCATTCAAGAGTGTTGCAGAGTTACTGTGCTAATGCAAATGTCCCGTTGAAACACATGCAAAAAATGGAATTTTCTAAGGTGATTTGAATCGTGAAAAGTACAGGGGGTTAGGTCAGAAAGAAGGGGGGGAACATTTTGACAAAAGCTACAGAGTAAGGGATAAGTTTTGTATTTTAAAGTGTTACTACAGCCAAGGGTTTGTATGGTATGTCTTGCTCTTCTACCCGAGGGCTCAGATTCCAGACTAAAGTAATACAAGGTAGAAAGGTTGGGCTTTGGTATTTAGTTGATAACGGAGCCTGCTCCACTAGGTCCAGTTAATTAGATCCCTTCAAAGCACTATCACGAGAATCTCTTAAGGAAAGTCTGATGAAAATTTCCTTGGCAAGTGAATGATGAGAGAAAATTTATACTTGATATGATTTTTTATCTCAGTCTGTTCTAATATATGCATTTTGCTTTCTCTTCCCAATTTGTTTAATTTTATTCATTTGTAACAGTGTGTTTTCACTTTGGAAGATCTGATTGAGAATTCACTGATGGTTGTAATTCATCCAACAAAGGCTCCTTACGGGGAGAAAGGTCTGATCAAAGCTGAAAATCTGCTGCTTGGAAAGGAGGGGGAAACCTGTTGCTGTAGATTACTAAAGATACTCTGAAATTTAATTGAGGTGTTAGAATATCTTTCTGGCCTAGAGCTGGCTAGAAATAGCAAAGCAATACTGACACTTTCTGGACCTAGTTACTAGTGGGGTTATTTCTATGCAGAATGTCAGTTATCTCTGTTCTTTCCTATTTTACCCTTATGTGTCATTTGGTTTGTGCTTAAGAAAAAACAAGTGTTCTTCCAGGATTTTACAGTTGCAGAGATCTGGAGACAACCTTCCAGATTGTCAGGACTGGGTGCCTGAAACTTTCTGTGCTGTTGGGTTGTCGATTCCTTTAGGAACTGATTTTTATAAGTTTTTTTTATTCATAACAGTAAGATCTCAGAGAAAATCCTTTCTTCTGACTTGTTCACTCCTGCCCAGGACATGAGCCGTTGTTGACACTTTAAAGTATTTAAGCATCATGGCCACAACAGTAGCACTATTTCAGGTGTTATTTCACTGATAGATGTCTGTGAATTGGAAAACCAGGAGGCACCTCTCCCCGGGATATGTTAATAATCACCTTGTTCCACCTTCTGGTTTGCCACAAGAGCGATTTATTAGAGAGCAATATTCTTTTTAAATGTTATTTTTATTCAAAGATACTACTAGGTGTGTTATTCAGTGTTTATAAGAATTCATTGGGATCCATTTAACTGGTTTTGTTGCTTGCGGAGTTCAAAACTTTGTGCTTTATTCATGGCATTGACTGTCACAAAGCTAGGTTCTATTTTTAGCCCCAGCTAAATAAAAAGTAAAACAAAGTCTGCAGTGTCTTCTTCCCTTTTGGCATTGATAAGTCTTCATTTTTACATTTCCTCTGCTCTGTTGCCATTTGTTTTCACTAATTGCATTAAAATCTCTGCAGTAGCTCTTCATGGGAGTTTATTGTTGCGCTTCTGGTAAATTCACAGAAATCTGGTGTGTTTTGTAATTTTCAATGGAAGAAACTGCTGAAGGGGACAAGGGGATTGGTGGGGGTTTAGTTGTGAGTGATTCTGAAGGCTGCAGCAGCACAACCAATGATGGTTTTCTTTTTTTTTAGTTTGTTTATTTAAGGTTGTTTTAAAACCAGATAGGGCAGCTGTGAAACTTTACAGGCTGTTGTTCAGGGGGTATTTTCTTGTGACTTGCTGAACTTTTTTTGGTAATTATTTTGATAGTACAAAAAGATTCATCCCATGCTATCCTGGAAACCTGCCTCGAGTCCATTGTAATCTTTCTCTTTCTTTTTTTCCCCTAGGAAATTTGCTACAAGACCCCATTGCTCCTACCAACTCCACATGTCAGCATTATGTCTGCAAAACTTGTAAAGGCAAGAAGATGATGATGAAGCCGTCATGTAGCTGGTGCAAGGACTACGAACAGTTTGAGGAGAATAAGCAGTTAAGCATCTTAGTAAACTGCTATAAGAAACTCTGCGAATACATAACGCAGACACCACTGGCACGAGATATTATCCAAGCAGTTGATTGTTCCGCAGATCTTTTGGCTTTGCTCAAAGATGGATCACCACTCCACGAAGAGACAGAAAAATCTTCTGATGCAGGCTTGGCTTTGTGTTTGACACATTCCCCAGTACCTTCAACCTCAGAACTCACAACTGATCCTCCAGCTAGTTTTACGTCAATCCCTGAAAGCACACACAACATTGATATTAGAGGTTCTGTTATCAACGGGTTGCCCAATTGTAATGGGCTTTCGGTAGATAAACTCGGAGTGAATATTCCTTCTCCTGAACACGCAAACACAATTGATGTCTGTAGTACTGGAGAGTATATAAAAACTGAAGACATCTCCAGCAGCCTGCAGCCTGTGTGCGATACAGTTTCTACTAGTGACTTGTGTACCACAGGCATTGACATCTGCAGTTTCAGTGAAGATATAAAACCAGGTGGCTCGCTTCTCCTCAGCGTTGAGGAGGTTCTCCGGAGCTTAGAGACCGTTTCAAATACTGAAGTCTGTGATTCTAATTTGCAGCCCAGCTTGGAAGCAAACATGACTAACGGCCCTTTCCTGCAGCTTTCTCCCCCACCTCTTAGCCATAACATTTTCATGTCCACAGATGCTTCTCCTCATGGAATCTCCTGTACAGCGGCAACGCCGAAGGTAGTTAAGTTAAACAGAAAGAGATCTCGATCAGAAAGTGACAGTGAAAAGGTTCAACCTCTACCCATTTCCAGCATCATCTGTGGCCCAACATTGGGAGCATCAGCTCCTGTAACAGTGAAACAGGAAAATAAAATGTCTTTGCAGCCTATTGCGACTGTACCTAACGGAGGCACTACTCCCAAAATCAGTAAAACTGTGCTCCTGTCTAACAAAAGCATGAAAAAGAATTTAGAACACGCCCCTAAGAAATCCCACCCGAAAGCCAAACCAGGGGTGCTGAAAACAAAAGACAAAGCAAAGGAGAAAGTTCCTAGCAGTAATGTTATGCCAGGAAGCCCAACAAAAACTGTGTATAAAAAGCCACAAGAAAAGAAAGGGTGTAAATGTGGTCGTGCCACCCAAAATCCAAGTGTTCTTACATGCCGTGGCCAACGCTGCCCTTGCTATTCGAACCGCAAAGCCTGCCTTGACTGCATATGCCGTGGCTGCCAAAACTCATACATGGCTAATGGGGAGAAGAAGCTGGAGGCGTTTGCAGTGCCAGAAAAGGCCTTGGAGCAGACTCGGCTTACTTTGGGCATTAATGTGACAAGCATTGCGGTGCGCAATGCCAGCACAAGCACCAGTGTAATCAATGTGACAGGGTCACCAGTAACAACGTTTTTAGCTGCCAGTACACACGATGATAAAAGTTTGGATGAAGCTATAGACATGAGATATGACTGTTGAATCTTTCTTTCTTTTCCCTGCCGTCAGTAGGGGAACTGCTACAGTTTTAAGGCAGCTATGGTTCTGTTTAACTTGCTGGAGCTCCTGCGTTTAGATCACTTGTATCAAGTGTTTTTCATTGCTATGTTATGTGTATTAGTGTCTGGGAAATAGTTGCAGATAATGGAGGAGTTACCCTAAAACTGTTTTTAGTTCTTACAGCACCTCATAGTTTGAGATCAATTGCTGATGTAAATGATTTTATCACCAGATCTTTGGCAAGGAATATATTAACCTCATTGTACTTTGGTCATGCTTTGTGCTCAGTCAAAGCTTCTGCTTAAATGTAGAAAAGTGGTATCTAGTTAGTCCATCTAAACTGTGCTGGATTATGGTGTAGAAAAGTAATGACTGATCAGTTAGTCACCATCACTAGAAAAATCATCTAATATTCCTGTAGGAAGTACAGCATTGAGCTGCAGAACACACTCGGAAAAGGGTAGATAACCAATTCTCACAATCAGAGATTATCTACTATATGGAACAGCTTAAAAATAATAATAATAATAATAATAATAATAAAATTATTAGTTATATTGAGAAAGCTAACAGCCCAAAAAGCAGCCCAGCCTCCAGACCAGGGTTGGGAAGATGGGTTGGTTCAATACGATGAACATCGAACTGCTGACTCTGATAGGCTGCCCCTGTTAACACACCACTCAGGTTTTTTGTTTTCTTGACAATTCCACATGTCACGTTCCTGATCTGTTATGCCCTCTGTGCCAACTCTGTCTGTTTGACATGTTACTGTTTTGGCTGGGGGGAGAAAAATTGTACACAAAGAAGGCTCAAGTGTTATTAGCACCATTCTCTCCTCCCCTTCCCCCCCCCTCCTTTTTTTTTTTTTTTGAGTTCCTGCTGATTTCACTGCTGTTGCTTCTAGAAAAGAGCTTTTTGGGTGACAGAGAGACTCCTTGGCTGACTTTTTTCACCCCCTCAGTTGCCCCTGGAAAACAGAGACTTCTCCAGCAGTTCCCACTGCTGGGGGCTGTGCGTGTGTTTTATTCAGTTTGTACCACAGTAGACCTGGGACCCATCCGCTTGAAGGGTAGCTCTTCACTGACAGGCATCTTTCAGCTGGGGCAGAGGATCGATTGCTATCTAAGATCAAATATTTTGGATGTTTGTTAGACAGAATAAGCTATATTACTCACTCTACCCAGAATCCCTCTCATTTTTCACTAATATGTTGGAAGTTGTTTTCAAGGGTCAGTACTTTTCAACCTGGGCTGAAGGGCTCTAAAAAGGAAAAACAACACAAAGTTGTCAGCTTATCTCAGAAGGTGTTAAAATGGAGACACCTTTGTAGGAATTCAGCTGTATGCAAAAATGATTTATTTTGGTGTAATCCCTAAGTAAGAGTACAAGCGGAAGAATTTAGTCTTGTGTTGGCAGCCTAAGCCAGTCAGGTTACTTTGTGAAAGCTGAAATTTCTCCTCTTTGAATGATAGAGCACAAACCAAACATGGGCTGACTAGAACACAAACCATCACCTTCTGATTTAAAAGACAATTCCTGTTTCAACAGCATGTTAAATAGTAAGTGAACTTTTTGAGTTCCTTTACTGCTTCCATCTTCCCTCCCGTCCATCCAGCGACCCCGCAGCGCTCTCCGACCGAACCTTGGGTGTCTTTTGATTTGGCACAAAGCATGTACAATGATGGTTCCTCACCTAAGAAATAAGCAAAAACCTTTGGACACAAATGACACCTCCTTTTGTTTTGTAGTGTACCATGGTGTCATTTTCTGTGAATGTGGTCAGATCTTTCTGTTGGTTTTGGTTTGTTTTCTCCCCCCGTCTTTTCTGTGGGGTGGGTAGGGTGGGGGGTTAAAGCCATAGGAAGAAAAATGTGATGTACGTGTCCAGTCTGTACTTTTTTGTTTTTGTTTTGCAAGAAGAGTTGAAAAATATTTTTGATAATGAGTAAATGGTGGAAAATGCTTCTTAGTATTCTTGTCTTTATTTGCCAACCCAGGTACCCAAGATCTGTGTTTTTTAGCCCTCATGAGATTTAATGATGTCCTATTAAAATGTATTTAGTTAAACTTCTATGTGATTTCTGTGTTGACCCAAAAGGATCCTACCATTTTCTAATCTGGTGGTTTGATCGTGACCTACTAATGTAAATCTGTTTATTAGTCCACTACGTGTAAGAAAAGTAGCCAAACCGGAGTCTGACTTAAGGGGAGTAAACTGCACAGCATGGGTTGTTTCTGAATGCTTTTGCAGAGCTGTTAAGTTTTGCTGAGATTGTTGATGGTACATATATTAGGACTTTCATTAAATTAAATACATAGTACCTTTGCTCCAGAAATGTGGGAGTACTTGGAATCTTTACTACTATCTCACTGCTGCATTAAATATGGTACCAAAAGTCGGAGAATTTAGGTCAAGTGTGTTTTGGAAGCATTGACAGGAGAGCCCTGATCGTTAATGTAAAATTGCAAATGGTAGATTCAGGTTGTTTCTAAAAACATTTCCTTTTATGCTGCCACGTTCTTGAAATGTATATTAAAATTCAAATTGATTTAATAAATGTTAGTTTTTTAATTCTATTTTGCAACTGCTAAGGGCATCAGTGTGGCATATGTTGAACTTACTGTCTAAATACTTAGTCTGTTGATGACTAATTCTGTAATTGTTTAAATTAGGGTTGGCTCGGTTTGTTTTTCTTAACCTCCTGGCTAGTTGTTCTTGAATACGCTGAGCAGTGGAAAGGATCGTAATGCTGCTGAAAATAATTGCAGTGGTTCTAGTTTGAAAAGCGTTAGTTTCCGTTTTCCAGTGACAGGAGCGGCGTCCTGTGCGGGCGGCTGTGCTCAGAGGGAGCCCGGGGAGCCCGGTGGGAGGAGCGGGGCAGCTCCGCCTTGGCCCCGGCACCCCTCCCGCTGTGCCCTGGGTCTGGGGAGCTGTTCTCACCCACAGCCCAGAGGAATCTGCTGCTTGGAGATTTTTTTCATGTAGGAAGTGTGTGGTATTTCAGCTTTCTTCTCAAGCCTCTTGAAGATGGTGATTGACTTCCAAACTTTATTAAAATCCTGCAATATGTAGAGCTGTGTCAGAAGGAACAAGCAGCAGTTTATTGAATGTTTTGCTGTGGGACTCTGCCTGCCTGAACACATGCTGCAAGGATGGAGAGAAGGGAGCTCCTCTGGAAGGGCCTTTGCTCGTGTGTAGTGGTACAGAATCCCTGTAGTGCTTTTGGCCATCCACACCTGCACACACACCTGCAAGATGCTTTGTCAAGAAAGAGAATAATCTAAATTTTCCTTTTGAGGGGAAAGGCTCTTTGCTCGTATGGTCCATCAGTGAAATCCCTGGTTGGGATGAAATCCCAGCGGGAGGAGGGACAGGGAAGCCAAACTGGAAATGAGCCCTCAGCCTGGGCTGCCCTTGGAGCGGTTTGTCTGTGCAGGTGACGGTCTCAGGCCTGCGTGACCCTGCACTGTAGGGCCTGTGGGCACCGGGGTCACAACAGCCTCTGCTTTCCCTCCAGCTCCCCGCAGCTGTTCCTGGGCATGCACACGAATTTTAAAACCCCATGGCAAAGGCAGAAGGCAGGTACCAGATGGCTTCTGGCCCACCTGCTTCCATCTGTGTCATCATTACATCTGAGAGGCTGCCCCCCTGCAAGCACCACTGAATTCTGTGCTGTTAGAAAAAAATCCTGGAGAGTTACAGGGTACCAGCAGTCTGAAATAAAACCTGAAAAGCCTGATTTCTAGGGCAAGTACTTCTGGCACAGCAAGGAGCTACTTGTTCAGTGAAACTCTGATGGACTTTCAAGAAAAAGATCATACACACATGTGGCACAGGAATCGTGCAAAGATTCTGGCATGATTCAGAATAAAAGCACCCGTGCCCCCAGATGGGATTTTTTTTATGTATTTAATTTTTATACAAATTATATTTATTAAAAAACCCTTTTGATTGCTAGTTAACTTTCTGAGAAGTGAAATAATAAAAAAGCAGCTTTTTATGTTAGAATCATGCCAAGTATGTGGCACGGCTGGCGATATCCACTCTGAAAGGAAAATACCATTTAAAGTAGTACTGATGATGTTGCAAGCACATATTTGGTCTTAACTATTTAATTTTTCATATTGAAGTGCTGCTGTTATTTTAAAGAAACCCTGAGGTCCCCACCAATAAGCAGCTGTACCATCCAGATCTAGGCACAAAGGGAACGCTGACCCGTCGGTCTCACAGATGAAGTAATACGATAATGCACTGATTCTGCTTGAGCATTTGCATACAATGAAATTAGAAAAGGTGTTACTTTTTCTCTTTTTTTGTTACTCTTCATTCTTGCAGAAGATCGGGAGACATCCCTTTTGTCAGGACGGGTTGAGGTGAGGGAGCCTGGCATTTTGGTAAGTCAGCATGGGGATAGTGCTCTCTGTTGAGGATGAAGATGTGAGGAAGGTAAGTGGTTGGATTGCTTGTTTTCCCCAGTATTTTTGAGAAGAAAGCCTGGAATTTTGGCTGTGGCAGGCTTGCTGACAGGCAACTGGGTGGCATGAGCTTAGCAGCAGCAGGGAAAGCAATTCTGGGACAGCAGCTGGAGATGAAGTGAACAATAACACTACCCCACCACTATGAGACAGGTTTTACTTTTTAAATTCAAAAATTCTTTATTTGCCAAAAGAGAAGAAAATACGAAGTAAAAATACAAAGATAAAACCATGCCAGCACAAAATGTCTCCAAACTACTTTTACAAAGTATGAGGACCTTTACTGTTAAATATTCAGTTTCTAAAACCATCACCCAGTGATACGGAGGAGAGATTAGGACAAAAGGTAAGCACTGTTTCTGTGTAGTTCTTACAGTAGCTCTTGCTCTTCATGGAGGTTCAGTTTTGAGTGCACAGGCCTAAGATACTGCGATGTAGAAACACCACACTCCAAAAATGCTCACCATTAACGTGACACTTTTTTTGGCCTTTCAGGCATATTTTGTTTTAGTAACTAAGCGCAGTACCTTGGTTAGAGTATCTCGAGCCGGCTTTCTAAAATCCTTAGTCCAGGAGAGCAGGAAGGTTGTCCGCAGCGTTTTCTGTAAACCTGAGGCTTGAATTTCTTTCTGGCTCCCACGTCCGTTTTGCAACACTGCCGCTTGGTGGCAGCGCGGCAGAAGGGGCTGGGCAGGGCCTGCGCTTGGCCGCCCGCTCAAGACTCTTAAGGCAGCAATTGCTACTGAGGTTTTAGAAGAAGAAAAAAGAAAAATCGAGCTAGTACCATTCCAGCAGTAATTGCATGTGGTTGTATCGAGCCATATCTCCAATCTTAGTACTGCAGAGAGAGAATATTTGTGAATATAAAAATAAAAAGCAAGGGTTTTTTAAAGACACAGGACTTTTTGCTAGACGAAAGCAGACTAGAGAGAACACGTAAACACAAATGTATTTTTTCGTCATGCAAAACTGAATTTTACTCACTTTTCTGACTACTCGGAAGGAAAAAGGAATCCAGCTCATAACAGACTTCAGTGTGAGCTGGATTTGCAATGCAGAAGGCATGATCTGTCTTGAAAGGTATGCAACATCTAAAGTATCATTGACAGTTGGAGATGGGAGGAAAGTCAGAGTGAATTGGACTCTGACAAGTTTTGTGTGATGATTCTTGGTTGTGTTTCATTCTAGAGAGCTTGCTGGCCCCTGAAGCTGGTATGTGTTGCAGCAGAGGAGGTTCTGGGGTCTGTGTTCACAAACATCCCTGTCTTACGTTTTGACTATCCAGAAAGAAAAGCTATGAATAGAATGGGAGCTCCCAAATTTACCTTGCTTACATACTGCAGTTTAGAAACCTTCCATCCAGAGAAGCTGTGGGCAGGGCTAAGGCACAAATGGGCAGAGAATACCTCCTTTACTAATTCATCTGTGGCTGCTGAATTATCATTATCATTATCTTCAAATGTATTAGTGAGAGAGAATGATTTTTACTTCTGGAGTAAAGAATATAAATCACTCCAGGATTTGCACTGAAATCATCCTGGGAGTGGCTTCTGTAGCTTGTCCTTATATTTACATATGAGGCAAAACATTTGCTGTAAGTTGGTTTGTTTTTTTTTTTGTTTTTTTTTTTTTTGATTAGACTGTTGTGTTGAACTACTAGAAAGCATAAGTTGGGTTTGGAGTCACTTCGTCATAGCAGTGAACCGCTGTCTGTAGAAGTGAGGGCCTTGGGTTTGGGGGCCAAAGGGCTCAGCAGAGCAGCTACAAGTCTGGCTCAATTTACTGAAGATAAACCTTGGAAAGGTAACTAAGTGGTGATTTTTAATCAGGCTCTGGATACTGACTACTTCAGCCTTGCAGGGAAGGACTTGGGGGTATCAGTGGATGGAAAACTGACTGTGAGCCAGCAGTGTGTGCTCACAGCCCAGAAAGCCAACCGTGTCCTGGGCTGCATCCAGAGCAGTGTGGGCAGCAGGGCGAGGGGGGGATTCTCCCCCTCTGCTCTGCTCTTGTGAGACCCCCCCTGCAGTGTCGTGTCCAGCTCTGGGGGCATCAACAGCAGAAGGACACGGACCTGCTTGAGTGGGTCCAGAGGAGACCACGAAGATGATCAGGGGCTGGAGCACCCCCTGTGAGGACAGGCTGAGAGAGTTGGGGAGTTCAGCTGGAGAAGAGAAGGCTCTGGGGAGACCTTAGAGTGGCCTCCCAGGGCTGAAAGGGGCTATAGGAAAGATGGGGGGGGATGACAACTCTTTATCTCTGGGTGTACAGATAGGACAAGGGGTAATGATTTTAAACCAAAAGAGGGTAGATTGAGGTTAGATACAAGGAAGAAATTCTTCCCTGTGAGGGTGGTGAGACACTGGCACAGGTTGCCCAAAGAAGCTGTGACTGCCCCCTCCCTGGCAGGTTGGGTGGGGGCATTGAGCAACCTGGGCTGTTGGAAGGTGTCCCTGCCCATGGCGGGGGGGTGGGACTAGAGGATCTTTAAGGTCCCAGCCCACAAACCATTCTGTAATTGTGATTCCTCAAAAAAAGGCACCAGTTCAGGCAGACTGGTGTGGTGTGAGGTGCAAGTCTGAATTGATTTGATGGGCTGAGGTAAAGCCCCTGAGCAAAAGGCATATGAGGAGGAAGATGACCGATCCTGAAGTGGTGGGTGACTAGAGAGAGCAGGAACAGCAGAAATAGGCTCAAGGTATGCCCTAGCAAGAAAAGAAATGCCAAACCAAAGAGCAATGCAACAAGAGTTGTTGGAGGACCAGCTCTTCAGAGCCCATCATGAGCTGCATCTGCATCCCAGCATCTGGTGCGTGAGAACGGGGTGTCACTTGCTCGACTGGCGAGTCCTTGAGTCCTTCATCTAACTCCCTCCTGACAAAGAGATTGTGCATTCCCGGACTATCCAGCCTTCCTGGAAAAGGATGTTGCTCTGAACTCCCATGAGGAGGGGGAGGAGGAAGTATAGTATGTGGAGAGGCTGTAGAATCACCATTTGTGGATATTTTTCAAAGCTCAGCTAGATGAGGTCCTGAGAACTTGCTCTAACTTTGAGCAACTGGCCTGTCTTTGAGCAAGGAGGTGGACTGGAGT